TGGTATGGGCGTTTGAGGGGCACCGTGGCCGGTTTTGGTGGGCTTTATAGTGACCAGCTGCATGAAGCGTCCCGGGTGGGTCGGTGCTTCAGCCGAGCTCCCCAGCTGTGCTGATGAGCTGGCAGCAGCTATGGCTTTTTCATCTCTGTTCAGTTTATGAGGAAGAAAGACTCATAGGTACTATGCATGGAGAAAAACCACAATCTGAGGGGCCTTATTCTTGTGAGGCAGGGAAACCGTGGCTGCTGGGGGTCACTTGAGGACCAGAACTTGAGCACCCTGTCTCTTGGTGGGCCCACCTCTATCAATACGATGGTGGGTGGCCCTGGCTCTCTCATGGCCTGCAGCTGGTCCCTGGGAGAGGACCCTGCAAGAGGCAAACGTGTCCCATTCACCTCTTCCACAGCCTTCCATGTTGCATAGCTCACTAGCATGCCTCCCAACAGGCATTCCCTCCCGCATCTGCAGTCCAAGTGCACCTTGAAGAGGGCTAGCCTTCACACAGTAGCCATTTCACCTGTGTCACAATTTCTGTTTCCCTTTCTTGTTCTTTTTGCCAATTCAAATCTATGTCTTCCAAGTGGGGAAGGGTTCATGACAGAGTCTTTGAGCTGTACGATGCACATTGTGTTCATTTTCTTGTAACAACTGAGAAGAGGGAACTGACCTGTTCTAGTTCGGTGCAATTTCACATGTACTGTGCTCTAAGTAGCAGAAAACGTTAACATTTTGGGAGAGAATGATAATGATGCTTCTGCTGCTCAAATTAGTAGTGAAATAAAATGTAGCACTTGTAAGTCTAGGTGAGAAACAGCCGAGGGAGAATGTTACCTATAAAACTGCATGTGACATGAAGAAGCTAAGTAGGAAATAGTGGTTGGCTTGTCTGTGATGGTACAAAAATTTTTGAGACACCAAGTGGGAATATTTAGTGGTAGATTCAGAACAAAGAAGAGAAACTGTGTCTTCATATGATGCATAATTAAGATGTGGCATTCATTGCCACATGAAATTGCGGATGCTAAAAACCAAACATGGCTTCAAAAAAGGTCAAATTCAAGGAAAAATCCATTAAGGGTTGTGATGCACCAAGAACGTATCCGCTTTGGGAAGTCCAGGGTATGCATACTGATGAAAGCTGGGACAGGAAGGTTATTTGCTAACTATCTATTTTTCGTGCTCTTACACTCTTCCCTAGATGCATTCCATGGCCACTCTCAGAAATGGGATATCAGGCTATACTGGCCTTTGATCTGAGCCAGTATTACTCTTCTCATGTTAGTAGTGCTTAAGGATTAAAAGTTCCACTTAAGTATGTAGCCATCCTTGAGGCACTCTTACGCTTGTCAGCTTATACCACCATCTACAGATGACTTAGATTTATCAGTCATTTAATTTTTTTTCCCAGGAGTATTAGTGACAAGCATCTGAGTTTGTACTACCTGCTATATATGTTAAATAGGCTCCTGCATCCATGAAATAGTAGTTTTATTTTCATGGTAAGTACACAATGTTTTGCTTTTGTAGAACACAAGTGGGCAATTTCTTCATTAAGTGCATGTTCCTCTTTTGAATTACACAACTTCATTTAAAATACTGGCCTTCTAATGAATGATTCTGAAATCTTCTCTGAGAGCAGAGTGGTGATCTGAGAGGACCACTGCATCCTTATGAAGAAATGCTTTTTAAAGATAAGAACTTTAGGTTTTGAAGCTACTGGCTACAAATTGTGCTTTGAACTTTGGTTTGTACCAGACCTTCCCACAGAAACTCTCTGGGACTAGCCAATTTTATAATGTCATTAACTATTCATAATGAACTAAACCATTGGATGACACAGAAATGTTTAAAATTCTGGATAAAACCTTGAATTAGAGCATCTTCAGATGTTGGCATACTTTACTAGTAACTCTTGAAATTGATTTTGTTCCCCTGATTCAGGGGCCTATTTTAACTGTCCCATTGTATTAGCCAAAATATTTTCAAAAATACTTGATTTGCATTTCTGGCTTTGGAACATGACTAAAAAACTTTTTGTTTAACAGCCTGCCTCTGAGTTTATATACATTTCTGTCCTTCCACTTACTTTTTTTTTTTCAGAGAAGAATTAATTAGAGAAGATTATGGGTCAGACTTATACAGGAATTAGAAGCCTAACACCCCTTTGATTTCTCACTGAAAAAAATGGGATTTAGTTATCAAAATACTTCTACAAATCTGAGTCCGTGACAATTTTTTTGATCTTGAATAGACTATGTGTAAAATCCTTGTTCTCACCTATTTTTCTTATGTATAATGTTGTCTTTGTCTTCCTGAAATAGGTAGAAACAGATGACCAGACAGCCCTCGTTAGTAAACCCAGGAATAAAGGAGGAAACAGTAATCTGGCATCAGCTGGATTTAACATTATCAACTCTATCATAGGATCAGGCATTATAGGCAAGTATACTTTTTGTACTATCCTGTGTTCAGCCTTGTTTATACATGCATGGCTATCGAGTTTGGGGAATAATACTGTCGTCTTACTTTCTGCTGCTGTTCCTAAAGACTTTTCTCTATTTTTATTTGCTTACTATGCAAAAATGCAGAGGTGTCAGCTGGGATCACGTCTTACAGTGATAAATACCCTACAACCTCTTGCCATAATGATCAGAGGACTGGTTGGGCAGGCACTGACTGAACTTCACAACTCGGCAACATTTTGTCCACTGAAAATAATCTTTCTGAGGTTATTAAGCGTGCTGGTCCAATTTGGGAGATTGATAGCATTCTTTAAAATCTGAGTATTTCTTTCTTTTGGTCATCACAAATAAGTATTTGGAAAGATTCTTCTATAATCTCTCCTTTTCTTATTTACAGGATTGCCATATTCAATGAAGGAAGCTGGTTTTCCACTAGGAGTACTACTTTTATTTGTGGTTGCCTATATCACAGGTACTCTAAACGCAGTTTCTGTCGTAAAGTGAAAATTAGTCTTGCAACATTTATCTGATCTTGAGCTTAATGATACCTTAAACAAGTGTATCTATGACAATAAAAATGATTGATTTTTTCCTTACCTCTCTAATCCCTTGAGCAGATTAGTAAAAGTAGAGAACTGTACTGCACAACATATAAAGCTGCTTTTTGTGTGCATATTATTTTTATAAAGCCTAGTTTCTTAGACTAGGTCAAGGTGACATTTGGAAGAATAGCTTTTATTTCTGCCTCATAATCACCTAATTTAGGTGATTAGTCCACTGTTTTTACCCTAATTAAGAGACTGATCCTTGAGTGTGTTGTCTATCAGGTTTTTTTTGAATATAGCACAGAATGAAAACCTTTGGTTGTACTATGATTTTGAATATTTTATTTAATTATCATTCATCAAAAAAATAACAGATTTTGCTTCAGAAATGGACGAGTTTTGAAATCATATGGTAAAAAAAAATAATTCATTGGCATCAAAGGAGAATTTTTATAAAGCCTCTGTGGATTCAAGTCTTAAAATGACAAACCAAGTCAATGTGAATGGCACAAATTCTTCTACCTGTATGCTGAGCATCAGTTGATGCTTTTCGTTGCTTGAAATATCATTTAAGGGTCTGCATAAATGATCGAGATTTGACTGGAGAGCAATATAGCATAACGAATATGTTCCTTCTGAATGGAAAATTTTCACTATGGCTTCACCCTCAGTAAAAATTTTCTCTGTGGCTTCACCCTCAGTAAGTTTGCAGATGACACCAAGTTGGGTGGGAGTGTTGATCTGCTTGAGGGTAGGAGGGCTCTACAGAGAGATCTGGACAGGCTGGATTCATGGGCAGAGGCCAACTGTATGAAGTTCAGCAGGCCAAGTGCTGGGTCCTGCACTTCAGTCACAACAACCCCATGCAACGCTACAGGCTTGGGGAAGAGTGGCTGGAAAGCTGCCCGGCAGAAAAGGACCTTGGGGTGTTGGTCAACAGCCGGCTGAACATGAGGGGAGACCTGATCACTGTCTGCAACTACCTGAAAGGAGGTTGTACCAAGGTGGGGATCAGTCTCTTCTCCCAAGTAACCAGTGATAGGACAAGAGGAAATGGCCTCAAGTTGCACCAAGGGAGGTTTAGATTGGATATTAGGAAAAATTTCTTCACTGGAAGGGTTGTTGGGCACTGGAACAGGCCACCCAGGGAAATGATTGAGTCACCATCCCTGGAGATATTTAAGGCCTGTAGACGTGGTGCTTAGGGACATGGTTTAGTAGTAGACATGGCAGTGCTAGGTTAACAGTTGGACTCAATAATCTTAAAGGTCTTTTCCAGCCTAAACGATTCTATGGTTCTATAGCAAAATACATTAATGAAATCATATCATAAACAGAGCTCAGAAATTTCAGTTACTTTTCTGTATGAAATCTGATTTGTCCTTTGCATTTCTAAGTATTTTGAAAACTTTATAGCCATAGGCCCAGAACCTGTGAATTAAACTCAGGATTTTATTATGTTAAAGATGTGGCTCAATGTATCTTGCACAAGCAAATTATGACTATAGTTATAACTTTTTGACTTGTAGCATTTAAAGTACAGGCTAAGTGTGTCTGTTAGCATTTATTTTCCATAGTTTTTAATGAATAATTGGTGAATAACTGTTATTTAGCAATTCTAACTGTATTTCATTTTGGGGGATGTTTTTTAATTACACTGGGTATAGTCCTAGATTAACAGACAAATACAATTTTAGGTTCTTTAACAATAAATCTTTTTCAAGTTTTGTGGGTCTAAGATCCCTTGCTACAAAGACTTAATATTTCTTGTACAAGATCAGCTCAGTATGCAGCATAACTGATAATGAACAATTCTGTATTTCTGTTTTTGACTGCTCACAATTATAGTATAAGTGAGCATATATTGTCTAAGAATTGCGTATGATCATGGAAATCTCTGGGTTGCTTTCACATTAACAAACTGTAGAAATCTCCTTTGTAAAGACTGAAAATTTCATAATTTTAGTCATTCCCAGAAGATAATAAACATTGACACTATTCACGGATAGGAACTGTTCCTATCGCAGCATAGATTACAAGCTAAGTGAAAGCCAGATGAGGAATAGATGAGGTCTAGCTACTATCTGTCAAGACATCTGCACTATGGTAATAAATTCTGTGCTGTAACTAATCTGGACTGAAAATTTCCATGGTGCTCAAATGAATACTAAAGCATAGCTTGACATAACATCAGTATTTAGAACTTTTCTTCATAAATCTGGGAGTAATTCTGCCTGTGACATCAGCCCTGTCTCAAGGCACATTGCTTCATGGTTTTCCAGATAAATCGCTTTGTAAAAGTGTTCATAATATTTTTATCGTAAACAATGGAGAAGACACAAAATACTAACCAGGCTTTGTCTTGCAGAAACTTAGATAAACAGCTGAGTAAAGCGATTGAGAGTTCTAGCACCGTGACACAGTCAGTCCTTGTACTTCATGATATAATCAAGCGCTCCATCCATTCAGAAGCCCTCTGCATTATTAATCGAATTTTTCTTTTTTGCTGCTTGTGACAATTCTTGTTCCCTTTAACCATACTGGAAACCAATGAAAATGAGTCTGTTTCTGCTGTTCCTAATTGGGAAAGTGGGAATTTCCTTCCAATATGGGCCTGTAACTCCTGGGTTTGGTGGACTGAGGTCCTTTGTGAGATTTCTCATCCCTGCTATTCCCAGTGCCACTGTTTTCCTTTTTGCAGACTTTTTTTAAGGAGCGAAAAAGATGAGCAGTAACCAACCACAAGTTGGTTCATACTGTCTTTAACAATAATTCTATATTTTAACAGATTATTCCATTATATTACTGATCAAAGGAGGAAACCTCTCCAGTACCAACACCTATCAAGAGCTGGTCAGAAAAACATATGGTTTTGTAGGTTATCTAATTCTTTCAACTCTTCAATTTTTATATCCATTTATTGGTAAGATCACATAAAATATAAGTGTTTACTTTTTATAAATAACAAGCTTTTTCACATTATCTCATTCTTTCACTGGTTAAATACTAAGAACTCTGTAAAGAATATACTGTATATGCCTCTTTCCTATAAAAAAAAAATAAAATTGCTTGGAGTGTTCTGAACAATGACTGAGGAAGAATTCAATGAATTGGAGGACCAGAATAATAGAAATGAACAGAAATGTAACAGCAGAGAAATTCATGATCACACACTTAAAAATTAATGACAAAAGAAGTTATGAGAAATCGAAAAGAAGAGATTCTGTTCTGGAATGAGTAACAGAGCACAAAGTAGATGTGCCTGAAACAAAAGGAAAATATGACTTTAGGAGTATGTTGAAGTAGTATTTTTCCAAAGATGTAGTATTATTTATTGGGGAAGCCACTGATCGGATCTTGCTTTGAGTATTATGTGCTGTCATTGCTCTTCAAAATTGTTAGTTCAGCCTCATGCCCAATGAGCTACTGGGAAATTGGGCAGTCAAGACCCCTTTGAAGAAATAGTGAAAGAACAGCATTCTGAGCAGGAATTAATTAGACTGGAAATTTAAAATAAAGTGTTAATCTGACTCTGCCCCCTACCTTAGTAACATAATCAAATCTTAAATAAGCTTGGTATTTTCACACATAGGGCTGCAAGGGGTGGTGACTTGAGATACCAAGAGTCTGGACTCAGTGCCTGGAGAGTCCCAGATCAAAATTCCTACTTTGGGAATAATCAATCTGAATTTATTACAGGTAGCTGAGATTTTTAAGGGAGTCAAGTTACTGTTACTGCAGGCAGGCAACAATATTACACATGTTGATTTGAAAAAGGATATAATTGCTACTTCATAGAGAATATGGAAAAGAGTTGTAAAAATCTTGGTCCTTACCATGGAACCAGTTACGGATATGCATGTGCTTGAACTTATTTCTATAAGTAGTGTTAATGACTTACAATTTCACAACAGTGAATATTTATACATTAGTTAAGGTCAATACCTATATTTATGCTGTCTAAATGGTGAAGCCCACATGAGTATATAAATATATTTTGTGTGTATGTATACACACACACGCACATATACACACTTCTAGTGTAGAGTAAGATAAGAATGAAACATGAATGTTAACGCCACAGTTACTATTAATGAGAGGAAGGAATGGAAGTCCATATCTAATATCTTTATCTATTTTCTCCTCCTTTCTTCTGGTTTAAAGATTTTGCAAACATTTTACATGAGTTAGGAAATCCTGTGCATTTGATTGCAGGACTGATTATTAGACTAACAAGGGAACTTTACTAAATAGAAACAAGAATTTGAAAAGAAATTTATGGCAAGTCAGAATATGGCAAGTCATTTATATGGCAAGTCAGCATAACAGCCTTGCTTATCCGACTGGATTCTTGCTTCGGTTGGGGGGAGGGGGGAGGGGAGCATTAAAGAATTTTTTTAAATTTTGCTTTAAACCTGAAACTTAGAAGTTTTAGGTGCTAACCAGAATTCATACAAGAGGGATAGTGACATATAATCCAGAAGTGTACAAAATATGTGTATTAAATGCTTATCAAATAGTTCATATTTGACTTGTACTAACAAAAAAATTTATTTTCTTTAAGCTATGATCAGCTACAATATAATAAAGAATTTTTTTAAATTTTGCTTTAAACCTGAAACTTAGAAGTTTTAGGTGCTAACCAGAATTCATACAAGAGGGATAGTGACATATAATCCAGAAGTGTACAAAATATGTGTATTAAATGCTTATCAAATAGTTCATATTTGACTTGTACTAACAAAAAAATTTATTTTCTTTAAGCTATGATCAGCTACAATATAATAACAGGAGACACTTTAACTAAAGTTTTTCAGAGAATTCCTGGAGGTAAGATGCATTTAAAAAATTCAGAATGGAGAAAATGTATTGGATAAGAGTATAACGTAAATATTTAGGGATTACTTGTTACTTTGTTTCTAAATGACTCTCATATATATTTAAAGTTGAAGCATATTTATATGAAATTTTTTTGTGTTTTTTTTTTATAGTAAATCTTTCTTAAATAAAAACTATGAATCCTAGTCCTTAGTTATCATGGAATCGGTGTCATTGTGACCACATGCTTCAGTGAAATACTAAGCAAATAGAAGGAGTCTTCCACAGTGGTATATTTACAAGGTCATCATATTTTGTCATCTTTTTTAGATATTTTCTGTAATAATAATTTGAATACTGAAACTGCACTTTATCTAGTGAACAATCCTGGATGACTTGCAAATATTATAATGGATTTAATGCTTACTTAAGCATGTCTGTAATAGTTGGTCATGAAGTACATATGTAACTTTCTATTCTTTTAGATATTCATTGCAAAACCAGATGTGACATTTTGAGCTTTTTAACTCATGCATTTGTTAACCTTCCTTTGCTGTGAGTTTTTGCAGCAGAATCAGTGAAGCAATTTGTGTGCATGTTTACCGTCTACTTTAGCACAAAGCCAGCTAAGCGAAAACATTCTTCACTGGGAAATTAAACTAAAAAGAACATGTCTGCAATGAAGTGGAAATTAGTATTTGTATGAATTGTTTGATTTTTCACAGGAGGACTGTAGTTTTCAGCAGGTGAAGCCTGCAAGGTGTGGATGCAATTTTAATTGTCACACTCTGTTGTTATGTGAATACTTGATCAGGTTGATAGTGACAGTGAATATCTAATAATTTATATACAATATGACTTCTGTAATAGGAGGAAGCCCCAGCATGGCATATCCTTTCACCTGGTAGAATGCCTGCCTGGAAAGAGGTGTGAAAGCATTATAATCTCCCAAAGAATAGAGGGAACTGAACATACTTTTCATGTCAATTGCTAGTCGTTTTCCAGCACTAATTATTCAGCAAACTTTCATTCAAGTCCATGATTCATGGCAGCCTGACTGAGATATGTTTTATTTTAAGTTGTGGTTGGCTTAAAAAAAACACCAATTGTACAAATAAATCCCACTGGTTGCAGGGAGCGTTAAAACATTATTGTTGCCTTCACATGGTAATCTGTATTTTACAAGTGGAAGCCAACTGGCAGCAAGAAAGGAGGTGCTCAAAAGAAACCTCGAAATTTACTTATTATAGGATCATTCTTTAAGAATTTGCTTATCTTCAACAGCACACTAATTGATGTCAACACACAGTGTCAAAAAATCCTCAAGAGTAAATGGCAGAAAGGAGCGGTAGAATGTTTTACTTGCAGTCTGCCAAGATTGACCCAGGCATGATGAAAGAAATGAATACTAATCTATGTGTAGAAATGACAGACTTCCAAAGTTTGGTATAATATATGCCATATGTTACACATTTGGTTTGAATTTGCAAAATTCTTGTGATTATGCACATGCTGTGTATGGCTTCCTGAAGGTTGGTTAATGCCTAGTCTTTATTTCAGTGTTACTTGGCTTGAGTAAAGGGGATAAAAGCCTGGTCAACATCAGTTTGTTACTCTTGGCCTTTCAGAGGTAACTAACTAATCTGTTTCTCATGTCAGTCTCTTAAAGAATATTTTCTTTTTTGCTTTAGTTGGACCAGATAATGTGCTTGCTGACCGTCACTTCATAATTCTTCTTACCACCATCATCTTTACCTTGCCTATATCTTTATATCGAGACATAGCAAAACTGGGAAAGGTAAATCATAAAAGCAGTTGATTTTTGGTTTACTTTTCTGTATGCCATTAGAAAATAACTGCCAGTCGTAACTTACTGTATTTGAACTCAATTATGTCTGGCTAGAACATGTTAAATATTTTGGAAGTTCAGACTGTCTTCTGTCCCAAGAAATATCGGAAAACTTGGAATAGTTTAAGCGAAACTTTGGTCTCCATATGAATTGCTAGAATTTTTCCATGTACTGTTAGCAGAACTCAAATCTTGTAAAGCACTGGGTGTTATAGACCTGATCTTGAAATGCTGAGTGCTGTTGATTAGAAATGTTTAAATGGGACTATCACTTAAAATTAGACAAATAGTTGCAATTGGGTAGTTAATTAAAAAGAATAACAAATGAAAAGATGATGATATAGGACAAGCTATCTAATTATAAATATTTGATGTGATATTTAGAACTTTACTTGGTTGTTAATTATTCTTTTAAAAAGTACATTATGCTGCTAAGAGGTCAACCTTTCAGCAGCTTACTGATTGAAGTTGTGTTTTTACTTTTACAGGTATCTCTTATTTCTCTGATTTTAACCATTGTCATCCTGATTATTGTGATGGTGAGGACAGTAACATTCAGTCCACAAGTGTGAGTATTCTTACACTTGCCACAAAGTGAATTTTTGATCATACGTAATCTGTTATTTCCCTATTGCATATATCTGCATGGCTGTGGAATGTGGCTGTTTTGGGAGAGACAGAGAAAAAATAAATCTGTATTAACAGTAATACCAAATGAACTGCTAAAACATGCTTTATCCTTTTTTTTCCCCACTTCTATTGCACATAAGCAAATTTAGAAAAAGTCTCAGAAAACTACAGATTAATTGGAAGTTGTGGGTGATATGGCTAATAGCAGGTGGCTCCTGAATAGGCATGTGAGGTTGTCTGTCATTTGAGAAAGCTTTAATTTTGTCTATTATTGTCAGATGACCTATATTTACAATCTTAAAATAGATGGTATCTTAGGAATATTTCTGTTAATATAATGATTTCATAATAAAAATTGAATACAAATAATGAAAAGAAAAAAGAGAACACAATAATAACTTTATACTGTCATTTGTGAAAACAACAATATAAACACGCAAAACTATTTTCTAGCACTCATACTCTGAAAGTAGTATTTAACATTGGATATTGGAGTGTTCTAGACAATTTAGTACATATAGATATGTCCTGAGGCAGTATTTTTATAATTATATTGCAAGAAAGTGTTATGAATCTATTATCTTTCATTTATGGCCTAGAAAGTCTGCCTTTTTCCTTATCCTTTGAATCTGAAGATATAGTAATAAAGACAACAAACTATTTCTGAATGTGCTTTTTTATTTATTGGAACTGTTTTATATAGTATTTCTAATGTTTCTGTAAGAAGGGGTTTCTTCCACCGTGATTGTTTCAGCAGTGTTATGCATAATTGTTCATTTGTCTTACTGCTGTGATACGTAGGTTAATTGCAGGGTATTAATGTTTAATGCTAGGAAGATGGCTAGAATAGCAGTTTCTAAAGTTGTACCAGGTGATGTTGTCTATCGTCCATAAAACGATGCACTCAGAACAATGTGGGACTTCCCCCCCCTCCCCCGCCCCTGCATCTTTCTGAAACAGTATGTTTTTCATACTGTGTGTTAAAGGGGTGTTTGAAAGGGTGATCTCAAAATGCCCTGTCAAAAAAGGAAGAAGCTGTACATAATGGTTACTGATGAGCTTGTTACTGTGGTAACATTTCTTCTCAACAGTTGCGATGCACTGAAAAATATGGAATGCCTGGTTTTATTTTTTTCTTACAGTAAGTAATGTTAGGTTTTGAGTCATTCTTAAAGTTTTACTTTTTAATTCTGTAAAGATTTCCATTTTTGTCTTTACACGTTTTGTTTTCAAAAATGCATCTAATACGTTGTTAAACTGTTAACGAGAATTTTTTGCCTCACAAACATTCTATCAATGTCTATTTTTACTACTTCTGTTTTACAGTTAGAAATAGACGTATACTTTAGTTATTAAAACCCTCTTCTAATATTTTGTTAATGGTATAATGGTATGCCATTTTTTATTTTCCAATGAGAATAAAGAACACTAATATGTTTTAATACGGGTCACATCATAGTATTGTAACATGTGAAACAAGTAAATAATGCATTTAGTGTGAATCCTTATTAAAATGCAATAGAAGTTGCAGTTTTCAAAGAGATTTAAAAAAATCATGATTATAAAACATAGTCCTCACATCCGTCATATAGGAAAAGAATTTGTACGATCCTAGATAAAGGTTTGATGGGGCCAAGAGAGAATATTTAATCCCTACCATTGTTACATGGCAGAACTTAGTGTATGCCTGTCATTGATGACAGGTGATTGTCTAGTTTGTTCTTAGCAATTCCATGATTTCCCATTCTACTTCTTAACTAGACTTTTCTTAAGAATTCTCCCTAAATGTATATCATATGTCTCTCTTACTGCATTTCATGTTAGTTGCTTCCTGCCTAACCATGGTAGGTATGGACAGCAAACTGTTCATCATTCTTCAGATGCTTAAAAAACACCTGTAAAGAGCTGTAACTTGTCCGCCTTTGGTGATCCTTTCTATAGGCTAAACAAACATAGTTCCTTTAGTTTCTCTTCTTCTCATTTCTTCTTCTACTGATCATTCTCAATGGCTGCATTAAGTTCTCTGCAAATTAAAAGTGAGATTGTGGTGCCCCAACTGCCTGTGGTATTCCCATTGAATAGCAGAGAAGAAAGATTGATGTATCTTACATGCAAAGTGTCTTGAGATCCCTTTCAACTGTATCTTTTTGGGGATTGCCATGCTTCTGTTTATGTAACCTAGTTTGATGTTTGCCTCTTTGGAAGGTGGCATGACATTGTGGACATACCTTGAGTTTGCAGTCTAATAGAGGCACCAAGCCCTGCTCTGCAGAATTGTGAGCCAGCAATTTTTTTCCTTTACTCTGTTTCCATGAAGTTTGGGGTTTTTTGCTTGTTCCCCCTGCCCTGTTCTCATGAAGCCTTTTTTTCCCTGCATAACTGTAGAAATTGTCATTACAGAATTGAATACTGCTTTATCAGATGATTTATTCATTTACCAACTTATTTATGATTTTTCTTTTTTCACCCTGTTCTTTAGCATCCTTGTGTTAACTGCACATTTCATGCTTTCTGTTAAGAATGCTTCTTACTTTTTGTTCCATCATTCAAGTTACTGCTGAAGCACTTATTCAGAAGTGCTGGACTCGGGACAGGTTCCACTGGAATCCTGTTCGGCTCTCTTCCCACTTTGGTAATTACTCTCTGAGTAGTAATCAGTTTTCACTTACCTTTAGATTTTTGAAAGTGAAGATTGCTTCCCTTTGAGGGATACAAGAAGATTATTTGGGTGTGATAAAACTGTCTTTTTGCTTAAATGCAATCCATGTTCTGTTTGAAAATTATATCTGTTATTTGGACAACAGAGAATATTGTCTTTCCTAGAAACCTGCAATGTCTTAGACCATCAGTGAAACAATGATGTTATTAGTATTTTTAATGATTTGATGTGCTTGGAGCTGTAGGCTGAAAAAGAGCAATTATAAGTCTTTGGAGTGTTGCATTTTTATGTATTTTTTTTAGTTGCTTTGGGAGTAGAGTGGGTTGTCCAGAGACATTATAGGAATGTTATTTTCTTGTTAGTTCTCAGGAAAATAAATAATGTATTTATAATGAGGGATTGCTTGGTTTAATTTATTTCCTCTTATGACAAACATGAAACTGAGGTACTTTTCCTCCTGCCCCCCCCCCCAGTTTTGCTTTTGTTTAATGTCATCCATATGATTGTTTCCTGAGGGACATAATGAATCTGCAGCTAAAATCCAGTGTTCTGGACTCAGAGTTTACTCTCAATAGTTTAAGATGTTGGATAAAAATATATTTTGATGATCCGTTCTTTACTTTATTTCCACCTGCTTATAGCTGGGTTGTGATCAAAAACAATGGGTTAGAATTATCTCAAACTGTAAATGTGCAGTACGTTAATACTGCATAAAATAACTTCATGCTTCAAAGCTGAAATTAACATTCATTGCTGTAACAAGCAATATTTTATGTAGCTTATAAAGATGGATCATTTTAATTTGGTGTTCTTTTGGAAAGAATGTCATGATATCAGTGTCTGCATAATACATAAATCTCTAGGAAAAACTTCAAGAGCATCTGCTACACATAAATAGGATGTGAGAATTACTCAACTGGCAGCTGATCACAGGGATGAACCACCAAGTGTTCAGGAAAATAACTTGAAAGTAGAAAGTTGATTCTTTCCTTCATATAAATAATCCAGTAGTAAGCAAAGATAAACTTTAATGTGTGATGAAATTAAAAAATAAAACTAAGCTACTGTATATTTACAGAATTGCTAAGTAGTTCATTATGGAAGAAATAGAAGTTAAAGCAACTGTAACTAAGTGAGGCTGACATATAGCTTTGCCTCGTCTGTGTTCTTTAACAGCCGAGATGACTTTGATTAATGTAAAATTCAAGGCTGATATGAGCATTACTCATTTTCTTTCCATTATGTTGATTGAAGTTTATTAATCTATCAACTTTTTCAGTATCTTTAAACTCTTAAAATTTAAACAAAAGCTAAAGAGATATTTTACCTTAGAATAGAATTGAATTGGAATTTTACAATTAATTTCCTAAATGTCTAAATCATTGAATTAAACCTGAATGAATCTGCCATGTGTTCCTGGATTATTTGGATAACTGACGGTTTACATGTAAACTTGGTGTTTTGTCACTGATCTTCAATCTAAAACAAGTCTTTTGCTCCTTCCAACAGGTAGCTCCCTTGTCAAACATATGACATTGCTTCCTCTCTAGAAATTAACTTTTTTTTTTTTCAGTCAGTGTTTCACACCTGCAAGCTGGGTTGAGATCAGGGACTTATGTTTCTCTTGCCCTTCTTAAAGATATTTTGCTTCTGATGCACTCTGCTGCTGTATTATATTTAGCAGCATTTCTACATGAATGACAGATAAGATTTCTGCATAGCATGGATCTTAAAGATGGGGAATTATTATACTGTAAATGTTTTACAAGAAGTAGAATGTATGCTGGTTTAGACTGCCAGACATATCAGCCCAACTCGTACTCATGATCTGGATGTGAAATGCCATTTACCCTGTTAGGAAGTCTTAACCTTTGCCTGGTTCATTTGTTCTTTTCATTTTCCCCTCTTCTTATGTAGATAAACACGTGTATTTTCAAAACTTTTTAAAACTCATTAGCGTGTTTATTATGCTATACTTTCCCTTAAATATACTGAAGACTGAGTAGAGTCTTATTTTCTTAACTTCTAGGCTTTCTTCATTGCCAGGCTTCATTACCGTCCTACAGACAGTTTTTATTGTCAGTCTGTCTTGCTGTTGTCTTACTTTCAGCTGAGACTTTTCCTGTCTGGGGTCTCCCTTGGAACATATTTGTGTTCAATATTCTATTATTTTTGTTCCAAGAATCATAGTTATGTTACCTCTCAGATTTATTTTGTGTTACAGCTTCTACTATATATGATACAGACAGCTCCCAACAAGTGCATTTAGTATCACAAATGTACTTCTGTTAACTTTCATTATGTTTCATCGGCTACTTCTCCAGCATGAAAAAAAACTTTGTGTTCATGCAGGCATAGCCTGTGTTTTTATACACTGAGTGAGCAGCAGTAAGCTAGCTGTTCTTGTCATTCATGGATATTCACAGCTACTGCTATTCTTGTATCAGCAGCAGTTAAAATCTTCCCCTAACAATTCCTAACAAGAATGTAGGTCAAACTGGTCAGAACAAAGGTCCTTCAAAAAAAAAATAAAATCCATCTTGAACAGTAGCAGCAGGATTGAAAAAGCAGAACAGGTATAGTGTTACTTGCTATTCTTCTGATAGACTGCTTCAGCCTGTGTATGCATCTGCCTACACAGACGTATATATGTATATGAATGTATGTATATTTACCTTGACATTTGATACTAGCTATTTACATGAGGTGCCCTTTGTTTTGTGAGTCATTTTAAGTGATTATTCACTGTATGGCTCTTCCATAACAGCTACTGTTTCCTGACCCAATTTTCTCTCTTCCTGTCTGAAGTCTTATTTTATATAGACACTTTCATGTCACCTTCATCCTTTTTGAGGAGCTTTGCATAAGTCTCTGTCCTGCACACTGGACTTGGGGGTGGTTTGTTGTTGATATGATCAGAAGTCTAGAGCTCTTGACTCTTAGTTCTAAACACTCAGAAATGAAATTTCTTACTGTGTTTCTTTCACTTAGTTTATGTATCACATCTGTGTAAGATCCCTCTGTTCCCAAGGTATGAAAAATGTTTTTCAAAACACATGCAGCAGTATGTGACTTACTGTAAGAAAAATTCATATACTGTTGCAAATGTTGTCTGTACCAATGTGCATTGTATGACATTGCAATCTGCTAGTAGTGTTCAAATCATGGATCTGAAATTCTTTTTCAATTCTGCAACTAGAATGGAAGGAATTTATCTTCTTAGGCCTGCTAAATAAGCAGGATTTTGTTCTTTTGGATTTTTTTCCCTCAAATAATACTCCTAATCTGATTTGTCAGTCATCCATAAAGCAAAGCTATATTTTGGTCTGTTGCATATTCCTAGTGCATAAGCTAACACTGTGCAGGGGGAAAACTAACTCTTGTGATTTTTTTTTTGTAATTGATTATTTGTCCACTTTATTCAAATATTTCAACTGAAGTTCACATGCTTTCTAAATTCCATTTTTTAAATCCCTGTTTGTAGAGTTTATGATATAGCTATACTGTCGCACAGGATGTACCATTTTCACAGAAATTAAATGTGTTTCAGACAAAAGCATTCTTTATCTCTGTGCATTTTAATTTGGTTTATAGGGTATTAGATTATCTAAGTGTTAATTATTTATAGAAAATGGGGTAAAGAGACTTTCACAAATTCTGTTGTCAAAGGATAATACAAAACAATTTTTCATTCTGTATGTTTGATATCAAAGCTGACCTCTAGTGGTTACAGAATGGAACAGCTGTAATGTTAGCTTTCTGTAGGCTATTTTTATTTTGAAATATTGATTTATTTTTTTTCCCCGATGTGAAGTTTTCCTGAAAAATAATACATTCAAAATTATGAATATGAATTGTCCACAGACATCTCTACTGGTTTGAAATCAGTGGCATCAAGTTAAGGAAGGCTACTCTATATAAGGAACTACAGCAGCTGTAGTGGATCGGAACTCCTATTTCACAAGACAAATACGAGATATCTCTATTTCATCTATAGTATTTATTACGTCTACATGATGAGAATGTTTTAGGAGGGCCATATTCAGCTGCTTAAGCCTGGAAACAGTATGTTACAGCAATCAAGACAATATACTGCATCTGAGGACAAAAAACTGAACTTGATTTTGATGCTCAGGTTCTATTCACTTCAAAGTTAAGCTTAGCAACCACAGCTTAAGAGCCAAAAAGGTGCTCTAAGTCTGAACTGAATGTGCATTAGAGACTGTAAATCTGGTTTTGATATGGAAAAGGAAGGATTGACTATTTGAGCTCTCAAGAAATAGTAAGGTGTGAGCTCTGAAAGGGGAAATAGCAATTTTTTTTGTCTTTTTTTTTTTCTTTTTAGAGGGGGAGAGGGAGTTTAAACATTTGTAAGCGATGAAACCTAGCATAACATATTGTACTACAGCTGTCAAAACCAGCTAGTTATCACCAGATAGAGGGAGAGACAAAGCTGCCATTGCTACCTTCACAGAACTGGCACGAGTGCCATACTGCTTCCTAGGGCAGTAGGGAAATGGCAGCTAAGGTCTCAAGTGACAGTAGCTTTCCTCTAAATAAAAACAGAGCAATCAAAGTTAGCAGCAGCCAGCTTTTTAAGAGCGATCTTCTCTGTACTGTTCCTCTGTGTTTTAATATTACAAAGATAATATTCAACTGGCTTGTGAATTTCATTTTGTATTTTTAGCAAATTGTAGTTCTGGAAGAGGATATTTCATGTCCTTCATTTTGGCTTTTTATTCAGAGAGGAAGTTCATCCATCAAATGGATTTTAACAGAGTTTGCTGATGATTTTCTGTGGTCCTCTAAGAATTACAGTTACCACAGGTCCAAAACTGTGGGTATATCTTAGAGGAGCAGATGTGGGGGATATTACATTCTTGCCTGATTATAAAATTCTCCATAAACTCTCTTACACTTTATTTTATTCTAGTCCTTTGGGAACTAGCAGAATCTTTACTATGAGGAATAGTTGGAACAGGTGTAAACAAGGCAAACTGCCTCACTTGATTTGTAGCCTAGGAAAAAAGTATCTCTGGGCTGCATGGATTACATGTGCAAATTCAAAGGAAGAAATTGCCTCTGAACAGTCAGAAGAGATTTTGGGTTGAGATAACCTTAGTCAGAATCAATTAACAGCTTTTACCTTCCCTGTTGCTGTTTCTTGGTATATGATGACTTGAAGAGTTTATTTACAAAACTGAAACAGGCTGACATTTTTGGCTGTAAGAACTGGTTACCGAAATACTTGAGTCAAAACAAGGGAGGTTTCAATTTACTGCTGATGAACACTATGGCCTACTTCAGAGAGTTCTGGAGATCTGACTAGCAGTTCTGTATTACAGCATAGTATTTTAAGTTATTTTTAATAACTGATAGTTGAAAAGAGGATAATCTATTTAAACAAATGTCTGTTTTAGACCCAAATCAGAAAATGCATGGATATTTGCAAAATCAAATGCAGTACAAGCCGTTGGGGTGATGTCATTTGGTAAGTAATTTTTTTTAATATTTTCAATATTCAGATCAACTGTAACAAATTATTTAATATTTTGGACCTAGAAATCGCATTTTTTTGATTGTAATTTTTTTATATTGATGTTAAGCTGGTTTAGAAAAAAAAAATTTACTTTGAGTCATCCATATGAATCTAATTGTTATGGTTTAAGACATTATCCCTTTCCATTGCCCATCTAGCCCTAGAGGCTACTGCCACTGCAGCAGAGACAGCAGTGTGGCTCGTGAATCCAGCTCAGCTGTGCAGGTCATCTTAAAACATCTGCAGCAATAGGAGTAGTCTGATAGATAAACTGAGGCGGCTGTGGTCGTTCTGTGTTCTCTTGGATAACATCTAACAGAAAAATCTTAGACTGCAATGCATACATTTGCTAGAGAGTGCCTGTTGCTTCCCGCTTCTTACAGCGAATCATTCAGGTGAGTCTCAACTTACCTCCATTATCCTCATTCTAAAATCTGTTCCTGCCTGCAGGATCTGATATATTACTTCTTGTTAATGTTGTGATAATCTGAGGCCTCCCCATGCTTGCTGCTGGCTAAAATGGATGTCATAGGAAGTCTGAAAGTAGCAAATGGCTCTGTGGATTTAAAAAAATAAATCTCAAAACTCCTGTTGGGTTCTTAAGCAAAAAAAGAGCAGGAAGAGGCAACAGGTGGAATGGAGGTGTGGAGGGTGGGAAATGGCATGGCATTTTAGGGTAATGTAATCAGAATCATCTCAGGATGAATATAAACCTTCATTGAATTAAATAAGTAACAGTTCAAGCCATTTATCTTCACCACCCATTGCAGGATTAATGTTTGTATTTAATAATGAGTGGATTCAAACATACTCCGTAAATTTATTTTATATGCATAAATTCATGCATTTGCTTTAACTGTCATGTGTGTTTCAGCATTCATCTGCAACCATAACAGCTTTTTAATATATGGGTCTCTGGAAGAACCCACATTAAAGAACTGGTCTCGAGTCACACATGTGTCTGTCTCACTCGCTGTTGTTATCAGTGTAGTGTTCGCTGCATGTGGATATATGACTTTTACAGAATACACAGAAGGTAAACTGTTCAATCCCTCAGTTCTGGTGCTCGCTGTAATCCTTACATTTCCACCCTTCTGTCTGACTTTTGCTGTCAATATCTTGGTGACTGTAAAAATGCCAAAGTCATGCTATGTTTGGACAGAAATAGTTAGGACTATTCCTTGTAGTTAGCCAACAACTAAAACAATATGGAAAGATGTCAGCTAAATGCTAATAGGTATCAGATTCCCAAGTGTAAGCCTCACCAGTGGAAGACCCCTTTGAATACTTCCATAATCAAAATACTTCTGAGGACTAAACATCTATAATATAGCCACATGGTCCACTAGCAGAGAGCAGTAAGAACAAAAATTGCCTTGATTTTTCTACAGGGTACCTAACATATATTTCTGTGCATTCTCCCGTATCTTTTCCTGTCTGTGCTAATAAGGCATCCTAGCTCTGACTTAGAGATATTTCCAATCTTTACAACAGCTGTTCTGCTGTAACTAATCCTTCTGTCACCTCTGTACATATATGAATATACATATCTGTATAAATAGATATAATCAATGTTACATCATACTATTTAACATGATTTTGTTGAAGTAGAAAAGGTGCTTTCAGAAGAACAAGGCATAAATTTGTTCAGTGCATTAGCTTCTTCAGGAAAAATACATACTTCATAAGCAAGCAGGTTTTCTGTTATTTAATAGTGCTGTTCCAAATTGTAGGAGAAGGCTTCCATCTTTTTCCTTTCCTGATAAGCAGCAGCACATAGTTGAGAACAGAGGAACTGTAGGATGCGGGTTACTCATTTATCCATCCTTTTTTTCCTGCCTCCAGTGCTGTTTATGCAGAATAATTTACTGTTCTAGATGCAACTGTAGCTAGACGAAGTGCAAATGGGCTGAGATATTTCAAGTATAGAAACTTCTGACTGCCATTATCCTTCAGCGTATCACTCTGCTGTAAGCAGGTTCCACCTTATCTTCTGCCTCCCCTGTCAAAATCTTTTGGCTGTTTTCTCTAAATTACACCTTATTGCTTCTTCAGTGCCATTGTGATCCTAAAAGTAGTAAGTCATAAGACAGTATAGTAATCGGGTAGAAAAGACCTGATAGATCACCTGATCGCTGTCCTGCAGTGTCTCTTGTGCTTGAGAGATCATCGTTCGAGATTCTTTGTGCTAAGTGCTAAGCAAGATGATGATTTGAATTCTCTAGCAATGCTTTTGTTGTTAGATGTAAGAAGATTTGCTAGGTAAATGAATGGGGTCAGAATATTTGAAATTCTTCACTGCAGCTTATGAGCTATGATTAGATACTTCTCAGGGAAATGTAGTTCTCTAGAGGTAACTCCCTGGGCTTCCTTGTGTAATTGTTGCTGTTCTAGGAATTATATTTTTAAAGGAAATGTATCTTTTTACATACAAGCTTTCTTTCTGAATCTGTCACGTTTATTTAAACAAACACCATCATCTCATACAAAATCTGCGCTAAGGGGAAGATAACAGATGACAAACTCTAATGTGTATATGTTAAAATATTTTTGAAAGATAAATGCTACTTCAAATAAAAACACTGCTACTAGCAGGATAGGGTGAAAGTTCCTCCTGGGTGTAATTTGTGACTGTAACTACAATTTCTTGATATGTGTCAGGAGAGGGGATCAGGAAGTCTCAATTACTCCAGTAACTTACACTTCAATTTGCAAATAGGTAAATGACATGAAGTTCAAACTAATTGATGTTTTTCTGTGCCTCAGGAGATATATTTGAAAACTACTGTAGAGATGACAACCTTGCTACATTTGGAAGGTTTTGTTATGGAGTTACTGTAATTCTGACCTTCCCCCTTGAATGTTTTGTGACCAGAGAGGTAAGAATTTATTACATTCTCCCTTTAACAATGTTGATACATATTAATAGTATTCTCATGTTATTAATGCATATTGTAGCTGAAGCCAATGGTTGATCTGTAATAAATATCAGCATAACCTATCCTGCTACATGCAATGATTTTGAAGTACTAGTTGTACTGTTTCGATTCTGGCAGTACTCTGTTGTTTAACATTTATTATAATATTATCCAATATTATATTAGTAATTACTTAATAATATCAGGACTGCTTAAAATTCCAAGTTTGGCATAAATGTCACTGTTGTTATTATGTTGAGAATAGCCAAAAATAGCATATTTATCATGCTTACTAGTTTTGCTTTGTGAAAGTATCTCCATCTAGGAAATCCACCTATTCAATAAATAATTTTAAGTGGTTTTTAGTCTGTAGTGGGCAAATGAGAAGAAAGTAAGTATACCCTAAATCCTGCAGGTATAACTAAGTCAGTCTTGCAAGTGTTCTGCAATTTGTTATGAGTTAATTTTGGAAGTGAATGAAGATGTTTTCTTCAACTAAGATAGGTAAAGTTCAGTCAGTGTGTTCTCACCCATTCTTTTAGTTTCCAAAGGTTAGAAGATTTGGAATAAGCTGTTTGTTAACATAAAGAGCAAAATTAAGGTTTACAATTGTGGTTCTGTTTCAGGTGATTGCCAATGTGTTTTTCCATGGGAACCTCTCAACAATTTTCCATATTGTTGTGACAGTAGTTATCATCGCTGTGGCGACTGGTGTATCATTGGTGTATGATTGCCTTGGAATAGTTTTAGAGCTGAATGTAAGTGAACCTGTGTACTCTTATTTAATAAATCGCTTTTTAATGAAACAGAACTCCAGAGCTCTTCTGAAAATTTCACGTAATTTGACATAGTAGTCAGTAGAAATGTTAGTAGGAAGAAAGGAATTATTCACTGCTTCAAAATTGGGTAATTAAAGCAGAAAGGAAGTTCAGGAAGTAAAGTTCACATGGTTGGGAGGGGTTTTAGAACAGTTCTGGAGATAGGGCAAGTGCCTATGACTTATCAAATATATTTAAACTACAGTGGAAATCACTAAAATACTCATCCTAACTGTATTACAGGACTGGCTTTAGCATGCCTTTCTCTAATCCCTGCTTCTGATGAAGTTGGCAAATTACTAAACACTGGGGCAGATCCTAGTGATTGCCTTGTGCCAAAGGGGCAAAAAACAAAGCGGGGTGAAGAAAGAACCAGTAATAGTGAAAGCACAGAGATAGTAACTGTAATTTTTCCCTGCTTTGGACTTAACAGGGAGCAAAACTGAGTAATTTCATAACCTGAGTGTGAGATTTTTAGGAGGAAACTGCTTTGTTTGCCAGTAAACATTCCTGTGTCTGGTATCGCCTCATAGCGGAGATGGAGCTTACCAGGCAGGCCACACATGGCACTTACTGCCTTGAACCAGTTTTAACACATTTATGTAACTTTTTTGTTTGGCTGGAGCTGCTATGTAGTCTACTTGAGTGCTAGACTACTAGTTAGCAAAGTAGACTTACCAGATGAAGTCAGTCTGTTTTGGCACGGAACGTACATTTAATCAAAGGAAATGTTTTAAAAAAAAATAATCTGATCTACATTTATGATAAACATTGTTTGTCTTAACAGTTTACCTTCAATTTCAGGTCAGTTATTTTTAATAATTAAAGAAGATGTGGAAATGTCATACTCCAGGATATAAAATTTAGAAGGGGGAGAAAACTTTTTAAGGGCAGCCTTTACTTCTCTATAGAAATATTTTAGAATTGCCTCTTTAACGTCCCTGTCCATTGACAATTTCAAGCCATATATTGCATGCTTACTGATGGAACAAAATGGAGGGATTTGTTCCTTATGCTATGTGATGCATGTACTTGTATGTACATTATGATAAATGTACACTGTTCTGATCCACAGTGCAGTTTGTCTGCTAACTGAGCAGTAATGAGTGATTTTGTAGCAGGTCATGCTTGCAGTAGTATTATAGAACAGGTCTTGAATATTCAGATAAGCTATCCAATTACCCTCTTAGTAATAATTGCCTACATAGTTTCTTCTCAGTTAATCCCTTCCAAATTATAACGAGCTCAAAATAAAACAATATTCCTATTGGTTTGGTCAGGAGGTCTGTTTCCATTAACATTTCTCATTTGTGGCATCTATTGGTAATTTCTTTTCCATCTTTTTTCCCCTCTGTTTTGACGTTACAAGTGCAGAAAATTCACATATGTATGTATATACACACCAATAAAAGTATTTAAATGTGTGTATACATACATACATGCCTATTCTGGCCAAATACCGGAATACTGATATAATGAATCTAATTAACTATGTGTGCCTATATATGTCTATGTTTTTTACATTTACTATATGGTATAATATGTTAAGAATAAATTTACACCAGAGGACTGCCAGTGAGCCTTTCTAGCATGAATAAATATGTGTGATTCCTATTTGGAATTAAATTGTTTTAAAATAATCACTCAAAAGCAAACATTCCATCAATGCAATATTTTTACCCAGAGATGCCTAAGCAATTACTGATAGCTTGATTCAGTTACAAATAGAAGTTGGTAGCCAGGCATTTGAGTGGGTAGCTCATATCTTGTGGGTTTTTTTTTTTTATCTTTTTAAGAGAGAATTTGACAATACAGTGGTACGTATTTATTGGATGTGATCGTTGTGCTTAGAAAGATTGTTCAGTCTTGATGTCCACCAGTAGAGAAAAATGAATAGGCAGAGTCTACATGTGAAAGAAAGATGATCTGTCTTCTCAGCAGCCTTTCTGTCCAGCAGAAGACCTGTCTTTTGGCTCTTCACCACAGATGGCATTTGCTGCTGTTTCTCTGACTGTTTACTTTTTACCTGCTCTGGTTTTAAAACAACACAAGCTGTTGTGTTTGCCCTGTGGTAATTCCCTAGGGAAGCCGTTCAGTCATACGGGAGTCAAGGGTCCATGGATTTTGCTGTGCTGTTTTACTGGGATGCTGATTTGTGTTGCTTCACATACTTAAGAGTCTCGGTTTTTATGAAGAAGATACTTTGTGCATGTACATATTTTTGATGTCTGTACTGATCACTGTTAACAAGTTCATCCATAAAAATATACAAAAGTTTGTACAAACAATAATTCAAAGATATTCAGTAGACTGGATATAATTAAGTTGAAACATAGTGTTTGTTAAGTATGTGACAAGTAAACACTCAAAATTTCTGCATAAAATGCTCTCTTTTGGCATGTAATTCATATGTTAATCTGTGGTGGCTTAACTGTAAAAAATATTTAAACAGGTGCTTTTTATCTGTCCCTATCTAAGACAGCATTTAAAGAGGAGCTGAATTTTTAATAAGAGGGGAGGTTCTACTCTCTCAAAGGGCACTTTGCTTTCATAGGGAAGTCATCCTAAATCAGGTCATAGATTTAGAAACTGATCAGAATTCTTTGAAGTGTTATGTGATGTTTCCACTTTTTTTTTGAAGGCATTTTTGAAGACATATTATATGTAGACTCCTGCATGGAATGATGTTAAATATTCTAAGTCAGTTACAGTATTGCAGAACTGTCATGTTTGGACTTTTACTGTACTTATGAAGCTGAGAAACTTCTGGTAATCAGATTTAATAGTACTTGCAACATAAAATATTATTTGATATCAGCAAAGCAAAAGCATTTAAATAAATCTGAATTATTTCAAATAATTTTACAGATACTTTTACAAATTAGTTGTGACTTTGAAAAGAAAGTTTCCCATAAAGCAACACTGGAAAAGGCCTTTATTTCTGGCTTTACTGTTGCATCAATCTAATCACAACCATTTAAAAATTTAGGTTTTTGTTCTTCATATCTAAATATACATGCTTATGAGGGTTTTTTCTATTGTTGTTTCCCCATACACAGGGAGTTCTGAGTGCTACCCCACTTGTTTTTATCATCCCAACAGCGTGTTATCTAAGGCTGTCCAAAGAGCGATGGAACCATTCAGATAACCTCATATCCTGCCTGATTCTTGCTGTCGGTGTGCTAGTGATGACAGTTGGGTTTGTTTTGACTATCTTGCATCCCCAGGAATGTAGCCATGGGAAAGAAATGTTCTACTGCTTCCCTAGTAATGTTTCTTTTCACAACAGTACTCTTCCACCATAGGTAGCACACCAATCTCCAGACTAGATCAGATACATCTCGCAGCAAGCCATACGTGCCAGCTTAAAGGAGAGTGGAACAAAGAACTTTTATGTTTTGATATGCACTAAGAATTTTAAACTGTAACTGTATTTATATACTTGGTTTTATCCTGTCATCCTTTTCCAGATAAGACTTAAGTTTTAGCTGTTGAAACAGAAATTCTCAAAGGTGCCTTTCAGTAGATATTACTTGAATAACTCGCAAACCTATCAAAAAAGGCTGTTGTTTTTTTTTAACTTAGTCTGCAATGCTGTTTAAAAGCTATCAATTAAATGTTTAGGAATGTAAACATCTCCCATGTTTCATTGCTGTCATTTAGTTTTTATTAATATTATAATTTTTAATGTGTATTTATTAGCACACTATAGTATGGGGTTTTTTTTGAAGGCCTGAAGAAAGAGTATGTCTAGGTCTCTCTTTGTGTTAAACTTCTGCTGTTAAATGAAAGATCCCTATTTATTCTGTCTTTGGTTTTGCAGCAATTGTCCTTTAGTGCTGAAAGCATCCCTCATACTGGCTCTTGAGTCAAGGGCAAATTGGTATTCTGACTGAACTGTAACTGATATTAATTCAACTGTAACTGTTACAATTTGTGATCTTCTAATTAAAAGATATTTTGTGAATAAATCCACACAGATGAATTTAAAAAGAATCAAGTAAACAACCTTTTAAAAATTTGAAGATTGACAGAGAAGAAGATGATATGTGTAACAAACACAGCTTGATTCTTACATTTATAACTCTATTATTTCTGAAACTGGATTGAAACAGTGCTATATACCAGGCATGTGCAGCTTGAGCAAATTCTGTAGGAGAACATTCTAAACTTGGTTATCGCCATAGTCCTCTGATTCTTTTCAATATATGGCTATTGATTTCATCATGGTTTGTTAAATTTTGGTGATTTATGTTCTCCAAAATTCATTTAACATTAAGGATTCATGTATATATATGTATGTATATATAAGTACATAGATACATAGGTATATAAAAAAATACACACACACATATGCCTATAGAATATGAGTAAATTGAAGTCGAGAATGAGTAACATGAGTATCCACTATATCAGTGCTGGGATTTTGAAAATGTTTTGTTATGAAATCAAACTGTGTACTTTGAGTTAGTTTTTGCATTATTGTGATAATTGTGGTTCCTTTTGCCAGTCATTCCTTGACAACTAGATGTGTAATCCTACTTCATTTTTATGCTGCTAAATGAGGTGGTGATGGTTTTTATCTTCAGTTCATCCTGCATGACAAAGCTATTTCATTCAAGACTTCTAGCTAAATAGATCTTCAAGCAAGGGTCACTAGATGGCGATAATCCGTGTAAGAATACCACAGTTTTTAAAAGCAGTGCTTTCATAATAAATGTTTTAAGTATTTTGGGGGTGATAGGCGTGTTTTGTTTTGTTTGTTTCTTTTTAAGTTGTAAAGCCATTAGGGAGAACTGGGAGTGTTATTCTGCTTTAATTTCCCTACGCAGAGTCAACTTTGAGGCTGATAATTTATCTCTTGTCCGGGTACCTACCTGTTACTGTTGACAGAGAATATTTTTCACCAGTTTAGATCCAGCAATAGCTGATTTTGTCGTAGCTGTGGATGAGTAGTCACTGGATAGATTCACTGCCTTCTATGCTAAATGGAGTTAAACTTAAATAATATTTTCTTGTGACAGCTCGTGAGATCTTTCTGATGAATCAGAAATCTCTTATGAGCTTTTCTGTTCCTTTTTCCTGATTTTTTAAAAATTTATTTTGTTGAAGTATGTTACCTTGTTTCAAAAATTAATTATAAGCTATCCTTCCTTTAGAGGAACAATTTATAGGATTGCCTGTTCAACTTAAAGATTCTACTGAGACTGTGTCAATATTAAATCATGTTTACATGTCCTTTATGAAGGATAAGTCTTTCTACGCCTTTCTACTTTATAAATGCTGATTAAAGAAAATCTGTTTGATGATGCTTTGTAATTTGAAAAGTGTAAAGTCTGAGGTAGCAATGATCAGTTAAATGTTTTCATTGCTGTTAAAAGTTTCTTTTGCCAAAGCTAATTGTATTCATGTAATCATATGTTTAGTGGTTTTCGTTCATGAATTTGCCAGGTGACGATGAGGCTCTCCCAACCATACATATACTGAAAAAGGAAAGTCAGACTGTATGCCAGAATTTAAAGTTAACTGCTATTTGGCTAATGGCTTTATAGAAGCTATCGTTCTTTCCTTTCCAGTATTATATAGTGTAACTTACCTTTATTGAAATGGCAAATAACAATAACCTGCTATATGCTTTCTTAGGACCTAGGAGGTCTGAATACAGAAAGAAGCACCTTTTTATTTCATAATAAAAATTGTGATAGTCAATGCTTTTTGGAAACAGTTAAGACTCCCCAAAATAGAGTTGCAGCTGTCACCAAAGCAATATAGAAAGCATTTAAGGATATAAAAATAAAGCTGTTGTAGATATGACAGTAGGTAGGTCTTGATGCAATAGAATAAAAAGATAGGTAAACTTAAAAGGAAACGTTACCGCAAAGAAAGTACAACCACGCTAAAGAATTACTAGTGAATATACTTAATTTAAGCTTCAAACAGGAGTGTCTTTCTTGACTAAAAAAATAAGGCAAAAGCAGCAATTTACAATCTGGTAGTTTTAATACAGCTCACTGAGAATGAATGAAAACTAGTTACTACCTGTGTTTATACCATTGGACAGACTTTTGTACTGAAGAGTATACTTTAGATTTGTAGTTTTAAAGCAGGTTTGGTTGGTAAGATAGAGGTAATTAGCATTGCCTAACTACTGAACAAATCACAACCTCTGAGCCTTTATATTTCAGTATGATAAAGTTTTCGTTTTCATCTCAGTATCTTCTCAGATTTTTGTCTTGTTTTGGCTCCTTAACAGTGCAGACTGGGGTTTCTTCTAGCTTTGTAAAATCCATTGGGATGCTCTCGCTGGCCTCAGCATGTGCAGGACCTCACCACTACCATAGTACTTCAAGCAGAGGTGTGCTGTGCATGAAAGTGGCAGGAGTGCTGGTAGCAGCAATATCCGCAACTCCAAATGCTCTGTGGTGACAAGACTTCATGGAGTCCAGGCAGAGGGAGAACAGCTATGTTAGACAAGCACTTGCTGGCAGGGTTTTCACATCAAAAGCTAGTAGCGTGACTCACTCTTTCTTCCAAGTTCCTCTCTCCAGCTGAGAAGGCATTTCAGGACACCAGATGTACAATTACCATTCTTACTGGAGCTAAGCAGACAGTTTCTGACTTTCTAGAGCAGTGTGCTTCTTATCAATCACAGACTTCTGCACATTCACAAAATACTTTCTCCTAAAAGTTTGTCAGATGAGCAACCCTGTGTACTACTGTGAACTCCCTAGAGAATTTTCCTTCCTCAAATTTTGTGGGGCGGGGTGGTGGTGGTGCAGAATGGCTTGGGTTTGCTAAATTAATATAATTCTGGACATTTTTCACACACAAAATCTTTATATCTCATATCACACACATCATCTGGATCTGATATGGGAAGGACACTTGTGTATTTAGTAGATAAACTATTTAGTATTTATGACTCAGTAGCAAACAAAACGTAAATGCAGTGTGAGAATTTATTTGGACTATGGTGTGAACACTGAATAGAAGTTAGGGAGAAAGACAAAAAAGTGGCAGACTAAACAAATGTATTGTGAATGCAAAACATGAGATTGAACAGGGTCCCGTAGCAGGAAGGAGACATCAAAAACCAAACAATGCACAGAAGGCTTATGTTGTTATAGTAGTTCTGGTACATGGAGATCTAATTTTAAATAGCAATTCTTGAGTTTCAGCCTAGAAACTGTGTTGCAACACTTGTTGCTTGGATTTTTATTTTTTTTTTAGAATTGGCATAAATTCTACAAAGTAAAGGATTTGAATTCAGGCCAGTGAAGGAAATAAGTAGAAGCTTTGCAGTTTCTGTCATTCAATGCTATTGGAGAAGATAAGATTCAGGTAAATACTTAGTACAAATTCAACATACAACTCAAAACTCTTCATGGAAAGAAATTAGATTATTTGATTATTCCTCTTTCTGCATATTTTTCTGTTCCCTCCTTAGCTAAATGTTGATTCTAGGTGCTTCATAAGACAATACCATATGAAAAAGCTATAGCTACTGTATAGAATTCCAAGATCGCATGCAGCAGACATTCAAGAAAACTTCAGGAAGGTCTGAATTTTCACATGTGGTTTCCTAAAGAAAACAATGGCCACTAAACAGTGGAAATTCCCCATAAAATTCATGGATGTACTGCATTCACACAAATACTGAAGTAATGAGCTGAAGACAAAAAAAAAAGTTAGAAACTAAGTGAAAATTACTGTTAGACACTGTAGGAATAAGTTATAGATGTCATTCTGTAAAACCTGCATTAGGTGGGACCATGCAAATTAGGTTTCAGTGGGAAGCTTATGTCTGCCACAAGCAGTACACTTGGCAGACTCAGCTGTAGCAAGTAGAAAGCTCTGTACTGAAATAATTCTGCACATCCTGCTCCAGTTACCTCTTGTTTTCATTTGACTCTTCAGCGGTGTCCTTTGTCGTAACAGCTGTGGAAAAACTGGCTGGTGATATCGCTGTCTTGCCAAGACTGACTGACTTGAGATTTCGTGGTGGTATGTTGTACACATCTCTCATGACTTTTGTTTCTAGAGGGCAGGAGCTATCTTTTTTTTTTTTTTTTTCTTCTGTGTTCATATACTGCTTGGTACAGTGGCTTCTGATTGATGACAGGGCCTCCTAGGTGCTGTAGTAATGTAAGCAGTAATAATTATACTTTGGTCATATTGTGCTCTATCTCTGTTGTTATATTTTGTCCCTGTCATGAATGAGTAACATAAGTATGTCACTGGGTGACAGAGGGTTCCTTTGCTTTTATTTTTGGTTCAAATATTTTTTGGGAAAAAAGACTTAGAG